CAAACGCCCACAAACACACTTATTATTTACTGCGTAATGGATGACAGAATCAACATAAGGAAGAACCCCATGAGATGATGAACAGGTCCTACCTGTTTTTAGACTTCATCTTCACCTGTTGCAAGGTGATTTCACCTAAATAGAAAACTTTGCCTACTTTGATCTAATACCATTCAAGCAATACACTAGTGCCCTCTGTAATAAGGATCCAACAATACCAGATTTTTTTTTCAAACCGAGTACCATTACAAGTACTTACATTTCAGGACTTGCCGATACAGAGTACCAATACGAGTACTAAGAAATGTGATTAACTCCATGTAATTAATTTGATAATGTTTTATTTCAATTTGGCTCATTAAACAGAAATGCACTTTGTGTGTCTTAGTTGTATAGATCTGCCCACTTATTATATTTTTAAGACATAGAACACCACTTTTAGTCCAATCAACGCTTTTAGTGTAACATAGATTATAACATTTACAGAAAAAAAATAATACATTTACTATTTAAAGATAGGCTAGTCTTGGGATTGTAGGTGAAAATCAGTACATCATATCATCAAGTAACTTAAGTTTACTGTGTATTATGTTAAATGCAAAAAGTGTAAGTCTAAATAAAATGTTTTGTGAAACATTTTAGCTTAATTGGTTCTAGATTTGTTGCTGTCTTTCCTTCATTGTATTTTTTATTAGGCAGTCTGGACCAAACTAAAGCAGTCATCCATTATATAACTCTATCCAGGTACTTTGGCTGCAAAACAAGTCTAAATTAATATACATTCATCTTTGTACTTGACAACCCACTGGATATGTTTGTTTTTTCAACTACTTCAAACAACCTTTGGGTGGAGTAGCTCTAATCTGCACATGATGCATGAATTATTGTACTGCCTGCACACTCTCACTTGCATTAAAAAAACACCACCTCACATAGTATAAAATCCAGGATAATTTATCTGACTCGCAGGCATCCGTGAACAACTATCTAGATCAGGGAGACTCTCGGAACTTCTAGGAGACTTGGCATGTCTGCTGTTTAGTGAGCAAACCTGCTATCGACTAGATTAGCTCAGCTTTAAACAACCATGTGACAAATAGGACATTACAACAGTTTGAATATACACATTGATCTTTGTACAGGAAAACCCACTGGAGATATTTGTTTTTTCAACTACTTCAAACAGCCTTGGGGCAGACATGACATTTCAACGGTTTGGAGTCAATAGTTTTTTTTTATTAATTATTAACAGCTCAGCTGAGACAATATTTGAGAATGTGATTATAGATAAGATGCAAATAAAGTCAAAGACATATATAAAGTCTGCGTTTCCATTTCTCTGACATCCTGTGACCAGAAACTGCTCCTGGAACAGACTCTTCAACTAATAACTGAAACACGGTAAAGTTGGAACCTTGCTTTCCCTCATGCTGTTTCATCTAGACTTGATCTAATTGATTTGCTGTACTTGGTCTGCAGCACAGATTGCATTTTGTGATTGAATTCTCTGAACACTCTAACGTCCCAATGGTTCTTTCCACAGATGGCT